GGTTTTGGAAAGGTTTTCCAAGGAGTGGCAAAAATTTTATAGAAAAATTACTGCAAAACTCTTAAATACCTCTTAAACCACAGTTGGTCACATAATAACCATAAATGTAGCATAAATCCATCTGTCCTTGTAGGACTTTCGAAGATGCTGTGTGTGTGATGGAAAACTAAAGCTATCATAAGGAGGTAGTGGTGGCTCACATCAATCTAAATGTTCCATTCCCACAGAGAAACATAGAAGCTGCAAACGATTTAACACAAGAGTTGAAGTTCACCGTGCAGCAGGACCAAGACCATACAGCATAAAGTCATAGCAACAGCTGAATGGTTAGGTGACCCCACAATGATGTACTAGAATGGCCCAGTCCAAGTCCAGACTTACATCAATTCAAGACTTGATAAATGAATCACAATGAAAGGTGGTTCTACAAAGAACTAACTCAGAGAGGTGAATACAAATGCATGCCACACTTTTCTGATGCTCTGGTTTTCCTCCTGTTCTCTTTTGACCATTTTCTATATGAAGCAAAGATAAAGACCACTAGGTCGGAAATCTTTTAAAAGAACATAAAATCAAGGAATAGAAGACGTTTTGTATTCTTCAACTTCTTTTTAAGACGTTGAAGTATCTGAAGAAGCTCCTTCTGTACATGTATTTATTTACTCAGTTGCCAAATTTTGAAGTTTTATGTGTGAGTGTGAGATTTCACAATTACAGTACATACACAGAAGGCACAGAAATGTGGTTTTTAGTAGCACATGAATGATATCGATGTGTTTAAAGAGAAACGGGACTTCCCCGTGAACGTTATATTTTATTCACATGACATTTTATTAGTTAATCTATAGCTAACAGACAGAATTTGCTCAAGCCCCATCCTTGTTTATGTGTTAAATTGCTGAGCTTGGAGCTCGTGCCGAGACTTGGCACAAGGTCAACTGTGAGTCTTCTCACTGTAACAGAGAAGCACCCACAGACCCACATGCACGCGTCGGCCCGGAGCTGCGCGGCTTGCTTCATGTGCTGAGTAAGTGCTGCGAGAGAACAGAGGCGCAGGCCGCAACAGGAACGCTCCGAGAGGACGACGAGTTCTCTGAACACAACAGGAAGGGGCGTCCTCCTCTCGCCGTCTCTCGGGTAGCGACAGAGACGGATGGCTGGATTAGGTAAGGCTAGCAGGGCCTGAGTGACATGATGGGCTCCGTAGCTGTCTGTTTGGACATGACACAGGAAAACTCACGGCAGCCGACACTGAAGAGACAGTCTAAGAGGCAGCCATCTTCTGCACTCAGTGTAAGGCCTCACTTTATGTTCCTGTTTTTTTTATTTTTTATTTTGCATCAAAAAGTTTATCCAGATGTCCTAATAAATAAGCAATAAAATTGCATTATTCTTTACTTTGTTTATGTCTGCAGCTGAAATAGGATGAAATATTTAAAAGGTAAAAAAAAAAAAAGTACAAAAGTGGAATAACAATAGCTTTTTCTAGTACAAATATGTGCACAAATCTCTGTCAATATTTCGCTAATGTCGAAAAAAAATTTTTTTTGCTAATGAGGTGTTCCGTTACATACGAAATTAAATGAAAATCACACTTGAATAATCTAGTTCATGCAATAAGCTGTTAAAAATCATGGCAGTGTTGGATGTATAACAACTAGATGAGATATATTCATAATTCAGTCATGTTGCTAGCATTCACCATCTATCAGCCATCAGTGGAGACGTCGGCATCTTGGTCAGGCACTGGAACGACCCCTTATAATTGGGAGCGGAGCGTATGCTGCGTTTTGGGGAAATTATAATTTGTAGTCTTATGGATTAAACATGTTTGAATGGGACAGAACTTTCAATGAACTGTGCGACGCTTTGAGAGCCGGCTGCTCATTGTCCAAAAAACCTCCTCCAAACCATCATCCTCCTACTACTTCCTGTCATCTTCTTCAACGTTTTCACCAGTATGCTGATCACATAATTTGTATGATGTGAATAAAGTGTTTCTATTGCAGTTTTGCGAATTACATCTATTTTCATTTGGCTGAAAACAACCCCTCATATTAGTGCAAGACATTGAGTTCTTTTCTTTTTTTTCAAATTAAGACAATTTATTTTTGGAATTTTATTTTACGCTATTTTATGGCAAATGGAAACACGGTTATTATAAATTATGTCAACCTTGATTCTCAAAACACAATATCGCGATCGACTGTTTCAGAAGAAAAGTCCATCTTGTTGGACATCCAAATTATTGGACATCAACAATTTGAAAACACCAATTCCTTTAATTGGTGTTTTCACTTGGTTTGAAAATGATTTAAATACTGGCTCAAGTCTGCAAAAGTACGCAGCAGATTCCATAGTTTCATTATCTACGAACAAAGCTGAACCCAAAGAAGGGAAAATCTACGTGTGGAAAAGCTACATATACGCCACAAAGAATTTTAAAGTCGCAGCTAGCTTGATTGTTTGATCATCAGCAGGTGATGATGAACTCCCTCAATAGAGGCAGGAGTTTTGGTACTTTGCTTGACTGGAGGTTACCGGTGGGTGTTAACCGTCTTTGCAAATGAATTGTTGCTGTAGTTCAATGTTGGAACGCTGACAAGGTCACATCCAAAACACTGAATTCCATCATTCTACTGTGGAAAGGATTTCTTCACAACTGTAAATGAAAATGTTGACGCCCCGCAAGATTGAGTCGAGAAAAGAATATGTTAAAGTTGCTTCTGGTGGAATCACAATATCCATTGGAAAGATGGGCCTGAGGCAGAAGTCACTCAGCCACGACGATTAAAACTAAACAGTGTATAGCAGTAACAACGCTACAGGCCAACGAGAATGGTATCAGGGTAATATGTGAGTACGAACAGGGTTTGATTCCAAACACAGCAACAAACCCACACAATGGCTGAATTAGAAAAGTATCAGGGTTTCGTAATGGCTCAGTTAAAACCCAGCCCTGTGCTGGTTCTTAGACATGAATTTTACATTTCGGCTTCAAGATTCATTTGATAAGTAAGAACAATATGTAATCTGTTAGTGTGTAAATGGTGTAGTGTAACTAGCTATTTGGACTTATTGAGCATGGCCAAAGCAGTGCTGAGATAAAAAATCTGGTAAATAAATGTAGTCTGTGTTTTCCTGAATAAATCAACAATATCCAGTCAAAGTAAGATGAGTGTGGTAGAACTCCTACCATGTCGATTCAAGTGCAAAAGATCTCAATTTTCCCCAAGTGTTCATGAAAATATCACAAAGAAATTAATTTTTTCTTAGTTATTAAAAAGAAAAGACCAGAGTTGCAGATGCTACAGCAAATTAACTTTCATAAAAAAAAAAAGTCCAATTAGTGTGTATTTGTTTTGTTCAGGTTTGGGCCACCCCAAACAGCTGAAGAGAGATTGTATCTCTGAACTTCAGCTCACAAAACTCTGAAAATCCAAATGAGTAGCTCTGCCAGTATTCTAACACAGTACTGAAGAACTAAAGACACAAAGCAAATTCAAGTCTTTTCTTGTCCCAAAACTAAGAAGAGCACACTTCACACATGGACCACCAAAGCTTTTCCTCATGAGACAAACTTTAGTAGTGTTGATTCCAAGGCTGTGGTTATAATTAGTTTCCCTGGTATCTAATGAATATTTTATCACACAGCTTACTACCACAATGATGTGCAAAAATCTATGAAGTCTAATCAATTTTTTAATATATTCAAAGGAAATAAATAATTAAGACACATGGAAATATCAACAAACACTCTTCTGATATTATAATGGATGTAAATACATACCATGTTGGTCAAAGTCTACAAAAGTTTTCTGCGTTTTCAAGAAAGAAAAGGTTTCTTGTGGATATCGTAGTAAGTCTATTGTCGACTTAGTACGATAACTTTTCAATACGTGGGCCCTGATTACCAGCATCAAGTTCTACTAGGGTTCAAAAGGGCTGTGGTTTAAATCTAACAGCATCCACCATAAAGCTCTCTGGTTGTGCAGGAGTGATTGAAATTTTCTCCAGCTGTGGGGAGCAAAGAGCAACACAGATTTCGCTGCACACTGATGCTAAGCTGACTGATAGATGGCTTCCAAGATGGACAAATAGAATAAATTTGAAATATTTATTACAAAAAGAAATCCAGACATTCATGGTGTGAGCAGAGACGACCACATAACCAGAAAATCTCAACTTGTTAAGCTTGAAGTTTCTCTGCAAAGAGGAGAACGTCAAAAAACATTCAGTTGAATAAGTGACTGAAACAACCACCGAGTTGGTGTTGAGTCTATATTTTTGTGCCATTATAGCTCCGGTGACCACTATGACCAGTATGTGCTTTTATTTCAGCTGCAGCTGGAAGATTGATGTCTTGTTCTGCTTTAAATGAAGATCAGTGCTGGTCCTGAGTTGAAGATGTTGTACCATGTTCAGAAACTGTGATATATTTCTACCCAACAAGCTCAACTTGTAGTCTAAGGAAACTAAATTGATGGCAACAGATCTCTTTAGAGGCCCATGTGGGATTCAATTCACTGGGGCTCTCCCCAGTGAATTGGGGAGAACCCATCAATGCCCAGTGATGGGCATTGATGGGTTGTACCCAATGCAGGACCAAAAACCAAACAAGAGAGAGCAATAAATGCTTCACACTGACTGATATCAGACTCTGTAGCACACATTGTGTTTCTGCTGTAAAGTTAGAGCTTTCTCATTTTGATTCTCTTCAGCCTGCAAGTCCAAGTCTGATTAGTGGAAAAAGGCCTAAAAGAGGCATGAAGAGCCGACTAAACGTGAAAGCAAAAATGACACCACTGTTCTTTCTATGTAACCTTGAGAAGGTAACAGGACGTTCCTGAGCATGGTCAAGATAGAACAGCCGAGTGATGACACCTCACTCAGCTTCACCTTTTCACTTCCAACTTTCACCACACCCACCGCGAACTCGTGTGCTCCCCTTTAGCGTGTTCTGCCTTTCTGCTCTCCCCCTACTGGTCCCCTCCACTCACCTGTTCTATCTTGGCCAGCCATTCCTTATTGCGGGCCAGCTCTGCCATAAAGGCCTGGTGCTTCAGCCACTTCCTGTGTAGCTTTTGAGCCTCATCCCGGGCCGAGTCTCGGGCCATAAGCATCTTCTCTTCCACCTGCTGTCCCAAACGCTCAGCTAGGGGAGACAAAAATAGCCACCATCAGGAGTCCAACGTTCCAGTCAGCCCTTCTTCCCCCTTCCCACAGGACGTCCTGCCTGGCTCCTCTACGCAAGAGCCACCCGCTCTGCTCTGTAGGGGCCTAGTTACCTGTGCTGTCACCACCTACACCAACCCCCCACCAGACACCCCTTTCTGGGGAAAAAAAAATCATAAAAAAATCAAGATGAGCACCTCAGCAGTGGTACCAATGGAAGTACTCAAGCCCTTCCTTAGGGTTGCCCCTGGGTCCTCATGCCCTACCCCTTCATGGATCTTGCGGTCCTGATGCTGCAGTGCCTGCTAGCCAGTCTCTGAGAAGGCAAAAACAACCAGCAGGGGAAAAAAAAAAAAGGAAATGCACCAGTGACAACACTGGTATAGAATGCCACACACACATCCAAGATTCCTCGTACGCTTCGGTGCTATTTTCAAGCTCCGGAAGTCAGTTACAATCCAGCCAGGTGCAGATGTAGCATAGCCACAGAAGAATCCTTCAGCTGGGGGGTAAAAAAAAAAAAAAACCCTGACCATCCACCGCTTGCCAGTCCCGGTCAATCTGTAGTCCTGTCTAATGATGCTGTAGAGAGGAGGAGGAGAAAGAGTTGGAGTGGGAGGAGCAGGGTGAGCGGGATGCAGAGGCAGTGCAGAAGAGACAGAATAGCATAAGCCATCCGCTCTTGAAATGCATTATCCTCACCTCTGCTAAGGTGCACAAGCAGGCTGGTCGAAGGTAGCAAACTATTTCCCCTCCTGCGATCTGCTTCCTTCATTCCCTAAATGGCTGAGCCGCAGATGCTGCACGCTGCTGCAGTACTTGCTACTCAGCTACACTCCTGTGTGCGTGTGATCGGGTGTGCTAGCCTGCGTGTGTGTGTGCGTGCGTGCGTGTGTGTGTGTTCAATCACAATCAGCACTGCAGTGCCGGAGCAGAGTGAGAAGGAGGGGAGAGAGGGGGAGGCAGTGAGAGGAGAGGGGGACGGGGAGACTGGGCGAGGAAATGGAGAAAAGGGTAGTACCAAAGCAGGAAAAAAAGAAGGGGAGAGCAAGTCAGAAAAGGGAAAACATGGTGTTGGAGCTACAAGGAGATGGAGGGTGGGATGGTGAGGGTTAGTGAAACAGATAGAGAGCCTGCGTCATCCCTTACTGTCACTGGGGACATTTCTCTGCACTAGAAATGACTGCACTCGGAGCTGGATGAGAATTGGGAAAGAAAGAGGGGGAGGTGTCGATTCTGAAACAGCTGAATGAAAGGGAAGGAGAACAAGTGCGTCCGTGGTCCAAGATATAGCTGGCTGATTCGGATCACTAATCACTCGCCTGCTTTAAGAAACCCCGCATGCGTTTCTTCTGCTGTCAGCATGTTGCTTGGAACAGAAGGGGCACGTGTTATACTCTGCTCTGAGGCTAATACAGCTTCCTCTGCAATCTTTTCTACTCAATAGGACACTCACATGTTGTCAACAAAACTAAGAATTAAAACGTGACTTTAGTTTAGGGCTGCACTAATGTTGAAGCATTTGAAGCATTTCTACATACCTTTTTTTTTTAAATACCAGTTATAGAATAAAGACAAATCACTATAGCAAACTAGGGATTAAAGTTTTATGAGGTTAAAGTGGAGCACCATCCTGAAGCACCGAGTTTTGCTGCTCAGTCTGGCTTTATCTGTGTTCTTTTCTTTTGGAGATTGATAAGATCTCCAAAATAATCTCACTTTGCAATTCACAACACGGCGTTTCAATTAAGCACAAGATGAACATAAAAGTTTTTGAAGTGGAAAACAAACAATACATACAAAAAAACCGTGACAAATTACATGACTTCACCAATGAAATGCCTATTAAACATAAAAAGTGCTGCAGGTGTCTTGAAAGATGTGGCCAGGTTAAATTTAGCACATAATTATTTATGGAATTACAATTGGATCATTCCAAGTTTGTCATGTTCTGCGGTTTAAAGGTTGAAAAAAAAAAACTGCAGAGAATTTATTAACAATAACTGAAAAACTTATAAAAACTGAAGCAGGCAGGCAACAGCAGGGTAAATCATCAAGAATAATGGAGATACAGCAGGATCAAAGATATTAATGAGGAGTTTGTTATGTATGACATTAACCAAAAAGCTAAACTACTGGCAGAGAAGTGGAAGTATGAAAGAAACAAGACTAGCTAATCAGTCTGGTTAGCTAGTCTTGGCTTCTATGCTGACTGACTTCTTCTAGTCAGCGTATAAGAAGCTCAGGTGAATGGGTGTGCGTGAGTGTGCTTGTGTCTCTAAGATTTGTCCATGAAAAAACTCTATATAGTGGGTGTTGGAACCCACAGACTCACCCTCCAGGACATGAGGATGACACGAAAAAGACCAGAGCCACGAGCACACACTCTACACTCCCAGTTCCAGGTATCATCATCCCCCGAGGGGCAACCAGTTCCTGGTCCGAGGAGATGGTTTCCTTCTTTCTGGGGGGGAGAAGTGCATACAGCTCCCTTTCCCTCACCCACACAAAAGCTCAGACACTGGGTCATGTCCAACCAGCACAAAAACACTGAACACGTGCCCCCAGGCACAGACGCCACAAACCTCCCACCCCTAGGAGAGCTTTAACCCTAAACAGCCAATGAGGCCACTTCCGCAAGCTCTGCACACAGCACAGCCCACACTCCAAGCACCCCCTGCAGCATTCCACTACCCATCACACAGCATGCTGCAATGGCAAGGCAATGGTCCTGCAATGATCAAATATCACGTAGTCTTGGCCCTTACAATCTTCCTACTAGGAACCCTGATTGCCTACAGAGGTTCAAACTGCCACAACAGGAGCTACTATCAACATGCAGCCTGGGCTTCAAGGAGAGATGAGGTCCCACATAGGACAAAAAGTTGATGCACGCATTCCTCTGTAGGTGCTTGGTGGATACTGTTACTTTAAAGTCTCCACGTGCTTTGTTGGGAAGTTAGACTGAAAAGTTTGCTAAGAATTCTGACATGCAAACACAACTCCTGGCTTTGGTGTCCCTTCCACAGACAACGTGTCACTGGAGAGACTAAAAAGAGTACAAGTAACCTTCAATGGGTAAATCTGAATACATTATGCCTCCCAAATGTACACTAGATGGACCCTCAACACTTAGTATGTTTCCTTGTAAACTAAGACACACTGACGTACACAATAGATACCTCTATCGGTTCTCCCTCATATGGAAAGGGACTCTGTTGAGAGTACACCACCTATCCATAAACCTTTCACTGAGTGAGCTAGTTTACACTATACCACCTGGGGAACGCCACCCAGAACCTTCTTAAGGGTGTGTGAGTGTGTGTGAGTGAACCTCCTTTGTGATGGCACATCAAGTACCCGCTGACCTGTCTCCTTCATTGCATTAGATGTTGCTGTTCAATCACCTGGGACCTCCTGAGCATCAAGAGTCTGTTTCCACCAAGCAATCATTAATAGCTGAGAGCCTTTGTGCGAAGCAAAGGGTAGGTTGGTTTATACCAGATTACCTTCAGTATAACTCATTCTCCGTTTTTCTTTACATTTACACCATTATAGAACAACTTGAATTATTCTCCTAAGATTCAATTCCTACTATTTCTCCACCTGGTCTCCGAGACACATAGTATGACCACCTTCCTCCTCTGGTCTCTCTTTACATTCAGTCTTCCTATAGTCTTGTGGTATTGTTAGAAATGCCCAACCAGGATCTTCCTATGGTCTGCTTCCAACTTTGGGAAGTTGGTTGATGCCAGCTGCAGAAACATTCTCCGATATTGGTAACCGTGTACTCCTTTGCAATGCTGTTAAAATGTTGCTGGTTTTTCGTCTCATTATACAGATCTTCACCGCAGAGTCTATTAGGCAAACCGAGCCATTCTGAAAGGTATCAACTAATCATCCATTGTCTCCACTGGTTTTCTGGGCGCATCATAGACAAGCAGTGGTACAAGAATATTGTTGGATTAAGCTTTTTCTGGGGAAAGACAATTTATCAACATCGAATTTAGTGTCTTACTAACTAGCAATAACTTATGTAAAAATAAATAAAGGTAAATCCGTTAAAAATTTGCAATCTCTCCAAAAAACTTTTAAGGTAGATTTTAGTGCACTGACTCGTACTGTACAGGTGCACGATATTATTATGCTATCACTGCATTTGACCCACAAGAGCACAATCACATTAACAGCTTATCATGCGCAAAAAACAAGGGCAAACCTGAACCACACAAATACAAACACTTTTTTAAATACACAAATTGTACTAAGTAATAAAAACAGGAAAGAAAAGCCTACCCATGTGATGGAGATCCCAAGGTTCAGGTCACGTGTCTGAGACTTCCGGACGAGAAGGAGGCGAAGCCACAGTGTTTGGTCGATTTCTACTCTCTCGGCGAAGTTTCAGCTGGAATTAACCGTTAGCCCTCCAGCAGAGGTCACGTTCGAACAACCGGGTGAACCGTTAGCCAAACCACACACACAAAAACAGCTGTTCAACTTGGCGAACCTGCCAGAACCGTGCACACGGTACAAAGCTCAGGCGGGGTTCACCCGACCCATTTTAGAGCTACGGAAGGGTTCAAACTTTTCATTTTTAGCTTACAATAAACGTGCCAAGCCGCCAAATGAACAAAAAGTAAACCGACCAATAGCATTTGTTTGGGCCGGACGCGCGTGCGCCAACACAGACTCGCACAGATACAAGATGTTTAGCTAACATTTTCTCTCTCCACAATTTTGTTAATAGCAAAGAGGGTTGGATATTAAAAAAAAATCAAATATATACATATTTCTTTTACTTAAAAGAACATCTCGAGGGTACAGCTGCAGGCTCTACCGGGTAAGGTATAACTTAACATACCATGTACATTAGCAAACACATGCAAATAATTACCAAAACTGAAACAGTAGCTTTTTTTTCCATCTTAGAAAATAAATCCTATCTGATTCTTGTTGGCATCGTTCCCATGAGAACTTGTTGTGTGAGTGTGTGTGAATGAGATGTTATCTGATAAAAAAAAAAATAAAAAAAAATCCCTTCTCACCCACCGCGGGTGGTTCTTATCCTCTGAGCTCGGGTCCTCTACCAGAGGCCTAGGAGCTTGAGGGTTCTGCAGTATCTTGGCTGTGCCAAGGACTGCACATTTCTGGACTGAGATGTCTGATGTTGTTCCTGGGATCTGTTGTAGCCACTGCTCCAGTTTGGGGGTTACTGCCCCGAGGGCCCCGATGACCACAGGCACCACTGTGGTCTTCACCTTCCAGGCCCTCTCCAGTTCTTCCCTGAGGCCCTGGTATTTCTCCAGTTTCTCGTGCTCCTTTTTCCTGATGTTGCAATCACTTGGTATTGCTACATCTACCACAACGGCTTTCCTCTGATGTTTATCCACTACGACAATGTCTGGTTGGTTCGCCATTACCATTTTGTCTGTCTGGTAATGGCAGACAGACATGTACGCTTTCCCTGCCAGTATCTTGCACCCTGCTGTGATGTGCTGGACTGTCTCAGGGGCCTCCTTGCACAACCTACACCTTGGGTCTTGTCTGGTGTGGTAGATCTGGGCCTCTATTGCTCTGGTGTTTAGGGCCTGTTCCTGGGCGGCCAGGATGAGGGCCTTTGTGCTGTCCTTGAGTCCAGCTTTTTCCAGCCATTGGTAGGATTTACTGATATCAGCCACTTGGGTTATTTGCTGGTGGTACATCCCATGTAGGGGCTTGTCCTCCCATGATGGTATCTCTGGCACCTCAACCTCCGTTCCCTGTTCTCTGAGACATTCACTGAGCACATTGTCTGTTGAGGCTTTGTCCCTGATGTATCTATGGATCTTAGATGTTTCGTCCTGGACAGTGGTTCTCACACTCACTAGTCCTCTGCCTCCGTCCTTGCGGCTCGTGTACAGTCTCAGGGTG